AGACTTTGCTTCGTGATGGACTGTAAACTATAAACTGATATAATCCCTTTTCTTCCCACATTGCTTTTGGTCATGCAAGGTGTTTTTTGTTGTTGTTGTTGTTGTTGTTGTTGTTGTTGTTGTTGTTTAATTTGTTTTGTTTTGAGACAGGGTTTCTCTTTGTAACAGCCCTAGATGTCCTGGCACTTACTTTGTAGACCAGGCTAGTCTTGAAGTCCAGAGATCCGCCTGCCTTGCCACCTGAGTGCTGGGATTAAAGGAGTGCACTACTGTACCCAGCAGTGCACGGTGTTTTATCACACCACACCAGGATCGTGGACTACTGCTGTGACACAACTGACCATGTTTTTGTTTTGTTTTGTTTGGTTTGGTGGTGTGTGTGTGTGTGTGTGTGTGTGTGTGTGTGTGTGTGTGTGTATTGTGGAAATGTTCAGAACTTTGGCCTGGAAAAGCCATTGAGTTCTCTGAGCTTACTGTGTTGTGGAAGCTTAGAAGACGATGCTCTCTACAAGGTCAGTGGAGGCCTGACTTGTGAAGCTTCTGAAGGAAGTGTGAGAGATGCTGGCAGGGCAGTTCATGCCATAGATCTAAAGTGAGTATCTGTGGTATCTGGTCAGCGGGAGCTGAAGAGTCACCACGATCAACAAGAGACCAGCCCCGCTGAGGCTAAACCTTCGATTTACTGCAGTGGCTCGGGGTTCTCAACCTTCCTAATGCTGCAACCCTTAATACAGTTCCTCATATCGTGGTGACCCCCCAACCATAAAATGATTTGGGCTGCTATTTCATAACTGTCATTTTGCTGTTATGAATTGGAATGTAAACATCTGATACGCAAGATACCTGATAGGTGACCCCTGTGAAAGGGTCATTTGTCCCCAAAGGGGTCACAACCCACAGCTTGAGAACCACTGCTTTGCTGGGACTATTGGTGCTGGTCAGCTGGAGCTGAGAAACCAGCTGTGGTTAAGAGGAGACCGGCATCATTGAAGTGAAATCTCCTGGGCTTATTTCCTCAGGGTTAACACACAGAAGCTGTGGTCCAGGAGTACCCAGGCTGCATCTCATGTTGGCAGCCGAACTTGGTCATGGGTAGGAGTCACTCAGGTGCTACCGATTTTGAAGGCATGACGGAGGCTCGGCACTGTGAGAGGCCAGGAGAGGTCATTGGGAAGGTGTGGCCCAGATGCGGGGACTTTGAGCTACGGGATTTAATTTACATTGTTGAATTTTGGTTTTGCTTTGATTGTGACTGTGGTCTGGTTCTTTCTTTTTGGAATAAGAGTGTGTAACTTATTTTTTATTTTACAGGAACCCACAGTTGAGAATTGGGACTTTTTAAGAGACCTTTTTTAAAAAGAGAACTTCGACTTTTAAAATGTTGAAATCTTTATAAAGTTATGCTTTGTTTTCTGTTGTGATATATTTTCATGGACTCCTGGGGACAAAGAAGAAGGGAAAGTTTATGGTGTCATAGTAATGTGGAGTGTGCCAAGGTGACAAGGAGTCAATTGTGTTAATATTTTGTGACACCAAGTCATCTGAGTAGAGGGAACCTTAACTGAGAAAAATACATCCATCAGACTGGCCTGTAGGAAAGCTGGTGGGGCGTTTTCTTGACTGACGTGGGGATGCCACCCATGGGTAAGGGGTTCTGGGGTGTGTAAGAAAGCAAACTGAGTAAGCTAGGTGGAGCAAGACAGTAAGCAGGCTCCTCCGTGGCTCTTGATTTGGTTCCTGCCTTGGTTTCCCTTTATAATAGACTACAGCTGCAAAATGAAAGAATCCCTTTCCTCCCCAAGTTGTTTTTGCTTATCGTGTTTTATCACAGTGATAGAAAACAAACCAAGACAAAGTCCAATGTGGTGATATATTGTGTACCCTAATAAACTTGCCTGGGGATCAGAGGGCAGGGCTAGCCACTAGATTAGACATAGAGGTCAGGCAGTAGTGGCACATACCCTTAATCCTATTACTAGGGAGGCAGAGATCTGTCTGGGTCTCTGTGAGTTCAAGGCCACATTGGAAACAGAGCCAGGCAGTGGTGGCACACACCTTGAATCCCAGTACTAGGAGGCACACATGCCTTTAACCCCAGGAAGTGATGTCTGGGTAGAGAAAGGTATATAAGGCATGAGGAAACAGGAACTCACTCTCTTTAGGCTGAAGATTTCATGGAGGTAAGAACTGGTGGCTGGCTGTTTTGCTTCTCTGATCTTTCAGCTTTCACCCTGATTATCTGGCTCTGTGTTTTTTTTTTTTTTTTTTTTTTAATTAAAAGACTAAGATTTGAACAACAGTCCAGTGCTGTCAATGATGCATTTTTCATTGTTGTTCCCAATCTTTATTAAGAATGAAATCTAAGCACCAAGGTGCAAAGTGGTCCAAACAAGTTTTCTACTTTAAAAAGCAAATATTGTTTTACATTTAACAAGCATTCCTTTGTCATTAAATATATATATCTGTCTTAGTGTTGTTGTTTTTTTGATTTTTGGTTTTTCGAAACAGGGTTTCTCTGTGTAGCCCTGACTGCCCTGGAACTCACTCTGTAGACCAGGCTGGCCTCAAACTCAGAGATCTGCTTGCCTCTGCCTCCCAACTGTGGGGATTAAAGGCCTGGGTCACCACTGCCCAGCTCCTTAGTGTTTTGGTTTTTTTAAAATATTTATTTATTAAATGTATGTCTGCATGAGTGTGTCAGATCCTCTGGAAGTAGAATTACAGACAGTTGTTAACTGCCATGTGGGTGCTGGGAATTGAACCTGGGTCCTCTGGAAGAGCAGTCAGTGCTCGTAACCTCTGTGCCATCTCTCCAGCCCCCAGCTCCTTAGTGTTTTAATGGTCATTGAAAACATATTTTTTAGCCAGGAAGTGGTGGTATACTTGGGAGGCAGAGGCAGGAGGGTCTCAGTGAGTTTGAGGTCAGCCGGGTTTCCAAAACGAGTTCCATCCAGGACAGCCAGGACCGCTACACAGAGAAAAACAGTCTCATCTAGTCCAAGCTGGCCTCTGGCCTCTACATCACTGTTGTTAGGCTAGCCTTGACACTTCTGATCTTCCTGCCTCTGACTCTCAACTGTTGGTGTTATAGGTATGTGTACCTGTGTCTGGCACAGGAGATGTGTTTTAAGCACTTATAAAGTAGTGAAATCAAGGTTCAGGTTGTGCTCTGAGCATTTTTTTTTTTTTTTTCTTCCCATGTGTGCTTTGTTTGGCTTCTGTCATCCTATTTGGAGTGACCAAAGTACATTTGAAACGCTGGCCTGGTGGTCCTCACCCACCTTGGCTCTCATTATTGGAGACCTGTGAAGGGCCACAGGGCTGTATCATGATGAGGAGAGGTGTGTTGCCGGTTTTTTTTTTTTTTTTTTTTTTTTTTTTGTTTGTTTGTTTTTGTTTTTTTGTGAGGGACGCTGTCGCAACCACAGATTCACATGTATGGTGTGCATGTCAAGGGCCCGAAGCAGACATTGGTTGTCTTGCTTGATCGCTCCCTACTGAATTTACCGACACAGTGTCTCCCACAGAACCCCCCAATTCTGGCTAGTCTGGCTAGCCAGCTTGTCCCAGTGATTCTGTGACTGCCTTCCGAATGGGATTACAGAGCTGCCACACCGGCCTGGCTTCGAGGTGGGCTCTGGATGGTTCCCCCAAGTGCTTTGCACCAGGTCATCCGCATAGCCCCAGGGACTTGTGTTCGTTCTCAAAGCAGATGACAAGCGTTACCAACGCTGCAGGTGACGACATGCCCTGGTAAGCGGGTGACTGGGGTAGGTGTTGGAGGAGGCATGAAGACAGGACATGAAACTCTAGCGCACGTGGACGGGCACCCTCAGAGCCCTCACACAAGGATCTAGGGCAGCAGAGGCAGAGTGCACCACACTCTCTTCATGGGTCAATGTCTTTTTAAAAAATACTCTTTTTTATGTGTGTGAATGTTCTGCCTGCATGAATGTCTGCGCATCATGTGCACGCCTGGTGCTTGAGGTCAGAAAAGGGCACCAGCTTCCCTGGAAGTAGAGTTAACAGGCGGTGTCGAGCTGTCGTGTGAATGTTGGGAACCAGACCGGAAGAGCAGTCAGTGCGCTCAATTGCTGAGCAATCTTTACAGCCCTCTCAATGTCTGACTTGCCAACCTGGGTCCTTGATGTTTTAACGACTTTGTCCAAGTGTTAAAAAAAAAAAAAAATGTCTTTATTTGGAGGTGTTTGTTAAACCTTTGTGGGTAACTGACTCTCTGAAACCTTCGAAGGTCTGTGATTCCTTGTGTGTATGTTCCTAGTCCTGGGTATATAGGTGTCCAGGAATTTTTGTGCTCCTTTGAATATGGAAGCCAGAGGTTAACCTTGGGTGTTATTCTTCAGGTGCCATCTGCTTTATTTTTATTTTTTAATTTAATTTTTTTTTTTTTGACACAGGGTTTCTCTGTGTAGTTTTGGTGTCTGTCCTGGGTCTCACTCTGTAGCCCAGGCTGGCCTCGAACTCAGAGATCCGCCTGGCTCTGCCTCCCGAGTGCTGGGATTAAAGGCGTGAGCCACCGCCGCCTGGCTCCATCCACTTTATGAGACATTCTTTGATTTGATCCAGAACTCACCAATTAGGCTACGCTGACTGGCCAGCAAGCCCCAGGGACCTGGCTTTACCTCCCCTCCCCAGCACTGGGATGACAAGTGTGTGCCACCACTGGCTTTTCTGTGGGTTCTCAGGATGGAACCTCTATCTTGATCTTGTGTGGCAGGCCCTTCACGGACTTAGCCGTCTCTCCACAAGCCTGTGATTTTTTTTTCTTGTGGGACGAGGGACAGGAAGAGGCTGGCAGGGATGTCCTGGCAGAGGTGAGCTGGCCCCGAATCTCGCCTGACTGTTACGCAGGTACCGGGGATCTAAAATCTGGTTCTCTTGCGTTCACAGCAAGCACTCTTACCCAGTGAGCTACCCAACCCCTACCCCCACCCTGGTTTTTAGATACGGCGTAAATAAATACACAGGAGGAAATGAAGAACACTTTATTAATGTTTATTTCTAATAACAAGAAACAGAACATCAGTCCCTTATGTGTACAAAAATACCTGAAAGTTTACAAGTAGGTTCACGAGCCAAAGAGCTATGTAGCGCAGAGTGAAGCAAAGCACGCGGGAAAAGGGTTTTGTCTATGAATGAACACCCTCCGCATCCCCTGAAAACGGTTACATGTCAGGTCAATTTTTCCGTCCGCAGTTTGCACTATGACATCACAAATCTACGATGAGCTAGTTGCGCTCCCGAAGGCGCAGTGATCGGACAGACTGTCAGGTATTTAAGTGCAGAAGGGAGGAGACAAAACACCTAAGCTGAGGCACATATTTCTTCAAAGTTTAAGCAAACAAAAACACGTCCAGAAACTCTTAACACCTAATGATATAACAGAGCCTACCTATTAAAAAAAAAAACGCTAAAAACCCAAAGCATTTGGCATTTTCCTTCTCAATTTAGTCCAGGTGGTGGGTGGCTACACGGAGTTTTCGTTTGGAAAAGAAAATCACAGGCAGAGATTGCAAAGTCAAACAGGCTCCAAAACAACCCTGAGCTGTCCCCTTTACATTCATGTCAATTAAATACAAAAATAAAAGTCAAATGTCCTTCTGTCGCTGGCTAGGGGGAGCTGGGTACCCACTAGCCCAGGGATTAGCTGTTGTTCAGGTGGAATTCCCAGCTGCCTGTGCAAAGGCTGGTGAGCTCGGGGCAACTGAAGTCTGCGATACTCAAGGCGGGTTGCAGCCTTCAACAATTCACTTCGGCTAGGGATGTACAAAATACTACGTCAAACCAGCTACGTACAAAATTGTGAACCAGAGTCAAGCCTATACTTCCTTTTAAATAAAATGCGTACTTATAAATATGAGATGCATGCCCTAGCTGTCTACTGTAGAGCCAAAAGAGAAAACGGTTATGCACTGTGGGGACTGGTCTGTGTAAACTGGAGAAAGAAACCTTAGAGTTGTCTGCTGTCTGTTTCGTAAAGTTCTGACCTTAAGTCAGCAAAGCGAAATGAGTATGGTAAAACTGAAATGTCCGTTATCTGTCCCTAAGGGGAAGACCAGTGGAAGCCTGCTGCCAGGCATGAACTTGAGGATTATCTCATTGTCAACTGAATGATTAACTAGCTGCGAAAGAAAAGAGAAATGCAATTGAGCACTTAACGCTTACGAAAAAATGTTTTACTAAAAAATAAAGAAAAAAATGATAAAAAGATAAAAAGGTAAAATGATAAAATGATAAAATGATAAAAAGGAAAAAAAAATTCTTCATTTGTTGTAATCAACATCTCGTGGAAACACGGTTGCGTGGTCTGTGAACTACAGTGTTTCTATACTGTGGACCAGCTCGCAGCTGACCTGTTTACAAAGCGCTGTTACATCTATCTTCCACTGCGCGCATCCGCAACGCAGGGCAATCAAACGTGCTCCCTGGGGAGCACTTCAATAAATCAGGACTGGCAATCCGGTGGCTAGCTCAGGTTCAAAGGGCCAGTCAGGTGTGGTGTCAGGAAAAGAAACCTGTTCACCACGGTTGTCTGTGTGTTTCTCAAGTGAGTCCCGTCTGCTAAATCATTAAAGGGGACAACAGAGGGTCCCTCCATGGGGCTCAGGGGACTCAACAACAACTCCAGCCACCTTCTGACTCCTCTCTTGGAGGAGGAAGCAAGCATCATGCTGCTCAAAACTGTCCAATGTTCACAACCACTGTGAGGTACTTCTCACCCTAAGCTAGCAAAGACATCGCCTCTGCACACCCTGCATCTGCTGGCTTAGGGGGTTATCAGTAGGGTGCAGAGGTCATCCAGCAAAGACTCAAAGCCAGCCTATGCTGCGGCCTCTGCAGTGTTTCCTTATCTTTATCACCAAAAAGCTCAGAGTGACAGAGCACAAGGCCAACAAGTTGACATTTTCTCTTGAGATCATCTAACCCCACCACCCCACCCCACCCCACCCCTGTGGGAGAACTGAAATGACCGAGGCTACTGCAGAGGGCAAAGGCAGCGATTACTCTACAACAGTGGGTGGCTGTGAAAATGTGAGGCACGGGGCACCCCAGATGGACTAGGTGGCATCCACAAGGAATACCAATGTGTTCCAAGAAGGCTTGCTGACATCAGTCGAAAGCTGAGGTCATGCAGCTGTGCTGTGCTGGGGACCAGTGGGTTTTCCAAAGTGATGAGGTCTCCTGCACGATGGGGGACGAGACTGCACACTGATAATAATAGATGACCAGACGTCTCAAGGTCTGCACACTGATAATAGATGACCAGACGTCAGCACAACAACAACAACAATGACCAGACTTGTGGTAGCGGGACTGAGTCACAAAACATGCTTGGTGTCAACCACAACTGACACCTTGTATTTTGTTAGTTTATTTTTTAAAAACCAAAAGCTTTTCAAGTATAATGGGAAAGACTGGGGTCTCTAAATGTAGGAGGAGCCAAATCTACACTGTGGCAACCTGCGGCAAGCAGGATGCCCTCAAGAAAACTTTGGGGACCCATTTTTTTTCAGGCTGAAGTCTGCTAATTCAAAAACTCTCTGTCTCATCTGGGTTGCAAAGCCACATCCTCTCTCTCTCCTACCATAGGCTGAGTACAACATTAACAACGAAGAAGGAGTGCAAAAGAGTGATCAATACAAAAAAGTAAACATTGCGGTTTGAAATGTCAAGATTATTCCAGGGCAAGAGTTCATTTCCAATCACTTCTCTGCGGTTTTTCACCCTCACATGGCCTAATCAAAATTGTCATTCCAGTTTCTTCCCACACTTGCACTGGATCTCTTCCCTCCCCCTCCCCCCCATTTAAATGGCTGACGCAAGGGGGAGGTGGTCCTGCTTGATCCGCAGCGGTAAATCTTGGTGAAGTCCAATAACTAATTGATGTTGGTCGGTTGGTACCGATCAAAAAAGCTTTGTGTTTTCTGAGTCCGTGGGTGGGAGTAGGTGTGTGTTTTCACCCTCATGCAGGCCTCTCTTCTCCGTTCCAGTGTTGCTGCCTCCAGCCTCTGTGATAGGGCAAGGAGGTCATAAGGCCACGCGGATGCAGTGGTGCTTCAGCTTGCAGGGCAGAACACCTTTGTTGAGCTGGTAGAAGTCGACCAGCTGGATCAGGTCGGAGAACTTGGTGTTCCCATCATCCAGAGTGAAGAAGGTCTGCCCATCATCCTCGCACTGCAGAGACACAGAAAACACTTGCTACGTTAGGGGATGTGACCTTGGGGGACAACCTGTGATCAGGAGCAAATCTGTCTGCTCATGGTTCTGTTCCTGAGAGCCACACACACAAAGTTGGCAAGGTAGGTCAGAAAACACGGTGGGTAGGGAGCCAGTATCAGAATTACAGAGGAACTCACTGGGTGCTCTGACTTCACTGTAGGATACTGGGAAAGGGACAAAGGAAGGTACTGAAGGTATTGGTACTTACAGGCAGGATCTGGAAGTTCTTAATCTTCTGGTGGTGGCACAGAGTCAGCACAAATGCCTTCGGATTGCTCTGGCTGTCACGCAGGAGGAACAGCCTGTGGAGTGGGAAACCAGCAATTTATTATTGATTCTTTTTAAAACCCAAAATGAATTTCCCATGTATGAACACACACGTATGCATATACACACCAGCTTGACCTGCCTGATCAAAATGGGCTTATAGCCATGACACTGGGACAAGAGCAGCCGTGAGATGGTGTGCACCCTGAGGTCCAGACTCTTGCTGGCCCTGCTGACCCTGTGACAGGTATGAGGTGAATGCTTGTAGGTCAACCTGCTATAAACACGTTACTTCCAGTCACTCTGGCCAATGGCTCCCATCATCCACTCTACACATGAGTGAAACCATCGGTCCTCTGTTGTCCTGCCCCACTCAGTAGTGAGACAATCTACTTGAGAAGTCCTGACTGTGAGAAACAAGCCTCGTGTGGGCTAAGTCAATGACAACCTGGTCTTTGAAAAAGGCAGTTTTCTAAAGTGTGTAAGTAAAAAGGTATTGGTGATTGCTTTTTTTTTTTCCCTGTTCATTCACTACCTCATCTTTTCTATTTAAATTTCATTTAAGGGGTAAAGGGCACATCTGGATACATCCAGGACAGGACGGTTCAGAATCATCTCTGTCCTTAACGTGGCCTGGCCAGCATATTTTGCCTCGGAGCTGGTTTCTGCAGGGAACGGTGAGTAGTGGGGCGGAGATGTGTGCTTATCACAGTGTGCGCTCGACAGATCATAGCTTCCAAGAGTGGAGTTTCCTTACCCATCCACGAGTCCTTGTTGCTTGATGATACGGTGAGACTCCTCGCGGGAGATACGTCCATGAAACCAATGCTGAGTCCTGTGAATCACTGTGGGAAAGATGGAGGAGAAGAGAGGGTAAGACCTGGCTCCTCTGCAGAGAGACCGCCAAGAGTCCATGACAAACTTGGACCTCAGCTCTAGTAGCACCTCACACAGCTCAGAGAGGTTCAGAGATGGGATCCTCTTTGCCTTTACATACAATACAGTGCCATTAGCTGCGCTCACCTGAATTCAGAGTAGAAGTATGAAGAGGGCTTTGGCTGCTCAGAACATTTATCCTAGTGCTTCGCTTCTGCAAAAGAAATGCCCACATTAGCAAAGATGAGAGACCAAGGTACCAAGTCACCTACTGTCCAGGGCAGGGGGGCTGAGTAGTGTCCCCAAACCCCTAGACTCTGATGACACCACCTGACTATGAAGAATAAAGAGTTTCTTGGCCCAAATGGTAAAGAAAATAAAGCAAATGCATTTTGGTTTTTTCTAGTCAAACTAGCACTGAGGCAGTAGCATGTTTCTTGTCCAGACTACCTATGATGTAAATTCTGGAGACTCTCAGCAAAGCAGCACAGGCTACCTCTTTAAATTCTGGCAGTTCTCAGAACATTTTTCTCCAGAGTCCCTGTGCTGAAGACTTTTGCCCTTTTCCCACACTATGGCTACAGGACTGGGAATGTCTTCTAAGCAGAGCCCTGGGCAGGTGTTCTGCACATGGTCTTTAAATTTCAGGGAAACCTGAGCTGGGAGATAATCTTCCCATCTGCAGATTCAGCACTTGAGCTTAGTGAGAGAACTGTTCCCCGTGGAGTCCTCATGCGGATGTCTGGCCCTGTGCCCTCTACAAACAGCCACTAGTAATTTATCAGCAGGAACAGCTCAGGACAGAGTGGTGTGGAAGGCCGACAGCATGGAGGGCCCCGGGGTCCGACTGCTTCCTAAAGTTACTCCCAACCCCCCTCCCACCAACACCAGGAGAGTTTGGGTGTTTGTGTATAACCAGTTCCAACCAGTCTGGGGCTAGTGACTTACGCGCCAAGCGTGGCCCTCTTCCAGGGCAGCACTCTGGGCCTCAGCCGGATTATCGATCACTCTTCCAATTTGTCCAGAAAAATCCATTGCCACCAGAGAACTCTCAGAGACACTGCGCTGTAAAGCAAAAGGCCACAGAGTCTAAGATGTAGAGAAAGCAGCCAGGGTAGCATGCTGGAGAGCACCCCACGAAACAATCATCAAGACTTCTGCGAAGGGGCTACAGAGTTCCCTGTTGCAGGGTTTTCAGTGGAACCACACTAAAAATGGCAAACATGGCTTTGGATGTGGTTTAAAAAGAAAGCAAGGAGGGAAGGAAGGGAGACTGGGTGATCTGTCCCCAACTCCTCACCGCAGACCATGCTTGGGGGCATCAGTTCAGGGAAGCAAACACTACACTCTTCTATGACTTGGCTTGCTTGTTCTCTCCCAGGAACAGGGATCTTTAAGATCACATTGGTAATATAGCGCATTTCTGTGCTTTTAGGGAGCAAGCTATATATATTCTCGATATCCTCACCAGGGAGTGACTTCCACATCCACAGGGCCCATGACTTAAAGGAACAAGAGCCAAAGATAACAAAAATGGCTCCTGGAGAGCTCCAAGTGGCGGCTGATACTTTTTTGGAATAGGTAAGGCAGGCTGCAATGAGGTTCCCATAGTACTTAACTGTTGAGGGTCCTCTACTTACCATAGGTGTGTTGAAAGGAGAGAGCAAAGCCTTCCTCTGCTGCGGGATGCGGTAGTTCTGGTACAGGAGCATTCCATACTGAAGAGGAAAGACTAGGGTCAGTACCTGCACCCGAGAGCGCATAAACATGTACAACATGACAAAACTATTCTCCACGAGTGTAAGTGCACAGGCCAGGACAAGTGTCTGAAGTAAAAATGCACCAAGAATTCCCCCACACTGTTGAGAAGACACCAAACTAAGGAGTCAAGAATGCATAGATCAGACACATCATGAGGAAACTGCGAACTAAAAACAAAACAAAACCAGAGACAAAGAGAAAACCTCAAAACAAGACCAGATAGTCAACATTTTTACATAAATGAAGAAATTCAAAGGACAGTGGAATGGCGAGGACGCAGTAGTAACTGATGCTAGTGGACTGTTCCTTCAAGAACGTAGGCAAGACTAAGAGTTTCTTGGGTCCACACTGCAAGGATTGTTAAGAGCTGAGTTCTTCTAGTCCCCCAGAGAGGAATGCATGTTTGGGAAAAATTATAGTGCAAGTAAGTGGATGACTGAAATAAAATCTGAGTCTATGAAGCACAGCGGCCGTGCACTTGAGGGGGTTTTAATATACAGAGAACGATTATTCCCAACAAGAACATTTCAGATAGGTGGTGAGGGCAATGAAGAAAGCTCTTTCTCAGCCTGACTGTGGTGAAAGGACTAAATTACATGGCTTTTTAATAAGTTAAAAAGATGCACGTTGTGGTGCTGTGGTAGCCCCTGGAAGACAGAAAGTCAGTGTCTGAGAAGCAGGCACCCAGGGAAGATGTAAAGGAAAACACACAGCAAGCACTTTACCTACTGGGCCTTCTCCCCAGTTCTCACACATAACTTTATTAAAAGAGCATTTCTCATCTGTTTTGCTTGGTTCTGAGAATGTGGAGTCTGTGGTTAGGCAAGGCTGGCTGCATACATCCAAGTATATGCTTGTGTGTGGTCTCTCTGTGTGTATGTCCATGTGTGGGGAAGTCAGAAGTCAATGCTGGGTGGTGTCTTCCTCAGTCATGTTTTGAGATAGGGTTTCCCACTGACTAACCGGGAGCCCCAGGGGCCTTCCCTTTTCTCCCCACAGCACTGGGGTTACAGAAATGTACTGCCACATCTGGCTGTTGCCGGTGACGGGGATTTGAATTCAGGTCCTTCTGTTTTCATGGCAAGGACTTTACAACTGAGCCATCTTGCCAGTCAAGCAAATATGGTTTCTGGGTGTAGAGATAAATGGAGAGATGGAAATGAGGGGTTACGCTTGCCTCAGCTTCTGAGAGATGACCTCTGAGTCATTAAAATGGCCTGCCTGATATAAGTGTTTAGCTGGGGGCCTTGGGCCAGACCACAGAGCCTATGTTAAGCATGTGATTCATGCTGGGCCTGGGGCCATGCTAGGGACTAAGGCCAGCCACATAAGTGATAGGTCCATATGGCCAACAATGCATGGAAACTGGGGTCCACACTAAGGCTTGGGTGAGCTTCCCCAGCCAGTAATGCTCTGGGTGTGTTACCATATATTTTTTTGTTAGTAGATTCAACTTCGCTGTACCTGACTCCACTCGTCGGGATTCCTTTCAGGCCTCACTCACACCTATCCCTTTCACTATAACATTTGCTGAGTCTGTAGCCCTAGTTCATTATTGAGGAAGAGGGAGATATAGAGTGTCTCCCAAGCTTGCCTGCACGTCTCTCCCCATAACACAGTGGCAATCTAAACTCTACAGTGTTCTAAAACCAAGTTTTTTGAGCAATGATATAGGCGCGCAAGTAGAAAAATCCAACATTTGATTTTGTGTGATAGGTCACAGTTAAAACCCAGGCAAGTGTATAAACTTATTTCAGGCCATGTGTAAAATATACGTGTGAGACAAACACATTTCGTGTTTAGACATAAGTCCTATCTGCATGACATCTCATTATGTTTATGCAAATATTCCTTGTCATAAAATGCCCAAATCCACAGTACTTCTGAGAAGGGTCACTCAATCTGGAATGGCACAAATCTGGGAGTATATTACCCTTATATATGTTTTTCCCTTTCAGTACTTTTGCTCTTTATCTGGCTTAACTTGCTTGCCTTTTTAGAATGCCTTCAAGAAGACCACTGACCTTAATTAAGCTTTACTTTAAAAAAAAAGTATTTAACATTAAAGATTTGCCTCTGAAGTTCTGCTGGAATGGTAACTTACGATACTTTTATAATTACTCAACTGATATATCTTGATTTTCTTTTGCATTCTATCCTTGGTCTATAAATTAATTTAAATAGATCTCTTTAAGTAGGCATCATGTAGAAAATTAGACTTCATTTGCATCATATTTTTAAATAGGATTTTAAAAAAAAATCTCAGTTACTAAGGAAGTAGACTGTTTTCATATTTATTGTTTGTAGTTTAAAGATCACAAATTCACACTGTTTCTCCTTAAAAATATGAAGGCCTACATGGTGGTTCTTGTATTCCCACCAAGTCTTGAAATTGCTAAGCCATTAGCCATCCAAGTGCCAGCTGCCTGTAGAGGTACTTTCTTTCCTTTCCCCTTTTATTTTAGTTGACTGGGCTTTACAGATACATGTATAGACCAATTCATGTTATTTCCTTTGTAATTCCTTCTATTGCTTCAGGAAAAGAAAGTATGACCTAACAATGTTGCCTGCTTCACTGCAGTGTACTCTGGCTTCCTATTCACATCAAATTAAATGTGACTCTCCTAAACAGTAGAGGATTAAGGTAGCAGTGGACTGTTTTGTTTCTTTGTGTACAGAGACAACAGCCACGTCTCCACATTCAGAGCTTGCCATGAAAAAAATGTCCTTCTGGGCTAGCGAGATGCCTCAGTGAGTAAAGGTGCTTGTCACTAAGCTGGAATTTGGTCCCCAGAACCCACATGGTGGAAGGAGAGAACTGACTCCCCCAAGTTGTCCTCTGACCTCCACACACATGCCCACACACATTCCCCTAAAGAAACTAATTAATAAATTAACATAATAAAGAACCATAAGCACATCAATAAAGTTCACAGGAGTTTAACATCACAAATGGGTTTGAGTTGGGGATCTAATGAAAGGAAGCCATTTGCTTTGTGAACCCATTGTGCGCTGACAGAGTTCCTTTATTACCTAGTTTTCATTCTGGCCATTAACCCTGGAAGACCCAACACGTTGAATAAAAGGACAGATCTTTCTCTAGTAACTGAGTGGGACGTGGAAGTTCTTAAGTGAGGTGGTAGCAAGTTTACTGTTTCATGCAAAGGGAACAAAAAGGTTTCGAGTCCGGGCTGAAGAATGCTTCAAAGACTGCAGCTCAGCTCTGGGCATGCAAGACAAACTTACAGAGGTGCCTGTTAATGGGGGTGGGCTGGAATCGCATTGGGAGCGCACCCTATTTAGCACAGATGTTAATGGAAAGGAATCTATTAAGTTCAACTAGGCTCAGCCTTCCAGCAGCCCTGTGATTTGATGGCCCCATATCCCTGGTTCAGAGGTGACAAAGGCCAGTATAGGCTGGAGCTTCTAACTGGGGAGTGACAATACCCTCCCGAGGCCATGGGAACCCAGGCTGAGGCTACTCTTGGCTGTTACAAGCTACTGAGACTGGGGGATGCCTGTTAATCCATAATACTCTAATCTGCCGCATTTAAAAAAAAAAAATCAGGCCTTTTTTTTTCTGTCTATCATATTGGGGAGTTAACCATTTGATGAGTTCTTTAGGGAAAGAATGCAAGGAGTCTAAATCCACAATGCTCACATTTTAGACATGACAAAGAAACAAATTTGGGGGGGAGAAAAAAAAAAAAGCTCCGAGTGCTTAAGGTTTATCAACTGATTTATCACCTATACACAAAAATTTAACCAAAGCTTCCACTCGGTCTCAATAATGTTTTTTGAAACAAAGGGTATTCTAACGTCATTCGGTAAGGTGGTCATAATCTCAGACTGAAGGATTACAAATGGATGCACTCTCACTATGAACCACAGCCGGCTGCAGGTCAAACATGTCCCACTGGTCTTATGTGTTTCATTTTCGCCATGAGCAGGACATGCCTCCTCCCCCCAGTCACTGAGGACTAGCTGTGTGGAACTGTAGGTCTAAGTCTTGGCATCTAAAGTAGAACCTGGAGCGGAGTATTTGCACATAGGGACGTCTGTAGAGGGAAGGCTGAGGACAGGGGGCCACCCAAACCCTTCTGTGATTCCTAGCCTCTCGCCCCTCCTGGCATGCCTAGGCTCCACGGGCGAGGCTTCTCTGACCTCATTCCGTGGAGTGCGGTCTTTTGTTTTGTATATATACCCTTCTCACTGCTGAGAAGGCTTTGATCCCCGCATTTAGCTGCCTCGCAGGGCTGCAGTGAATTTCTTCTTTGTTTCCAATGTGCTGGTCCTACTGTCAGAGTGCTCTCGCAGAGGAGGCTCCCCGTGCCTCTTGGTGGTCTGCTGTCTTGCTGAACATGAACCTAATTGCCTTTTCAGGGCGGGGTAATTTAAAACCAAAGCAACCACAATGACAGGCTCTTGTGCTGACACAGCAAGACATTTTGTGGAGGGGATTTTTACATCAGTTTAAGAAACTTTTAGAAGAGGAGGGAGAATAGGAGAAGTAGGTAACCGTTACAACTTTCTACCACGTTGGCACAGTCCTGTGGCCAAGAAATGACTCAATGATGGACTAGGAAAGGATGAAGAGCGCAGTCTGACCCTACGTCCTGCACTGGCCACTAAGAAATCTGTAACGCTGAGCACAGCAATGCCTCTTTTTCCCTTTTTTTTTTTTATATTTATGCAAGCACTTAAAGATGTAAGATGGTCCTTGGTTAATTTTAAATAACAAAGTTATCCTTCCCCGAAGCTCCAGGATCACAACGTGATATAAATTACTGTTTCAACACTGCTGGCGCCAAGTCCATGTCCACTAATCAAAAATGGTAATGAGGCAGGGTTAGGGATGGTGGGAGAGGACTTTACACGATGATTTAGGAGTCTATGTTCACAAATGTAATAAAGCAAGGAAACCTCCGTGTTGAATTCACTTTTTCCAGATTTTTTTTTTTTTTTTTTTTTTTTTAAAAAAAAAAAACAGCCCCTTTCTAGCAGGCGAGAGTGTCTGAGAGGGATCAAGTTCAAGGACCCGACCTGCACCCTGATCCTGAGGAGACACAACCTGACAGCTTGTTATCTGGGCTGCTGTGAGCCCATTCAGTGCCTTTTCAGAAACAAGAGAGAGTACACATGGGTGGAAGGCAGGAGGACCAGTCAAGTCCTGCCTGAGTTACAGAGAGAGTTTAAGGCCAGTCTGGGCCATCTACTGCAACTCTGCCTAAAGATGTATAAAAAAAGGCCTGGGGATAGACAGATTGAAGGAATGGACAGACAGGCAAACCCACACACAGAGCCAGAAACACAAGTGTAATCCTGAGACCTTTGGCATCTGTGGATCACTGGATCAAATGACAACTGCAGAGTAGCTGGGACACTAGAACTCAATGCAGGATCAACTCGACTCCAAATACTAGGAAGGCTGAGGCAGGAAGATTCTGAGTCTGAGGCCAGCTTGAGGCACATACCTTGAGCAGTCTGAAGGCAGTCATCCAGCAAGAACGGATCTGATCATCCTCGGCACAGAGCAGACGCAGCTCCTTCATCTCAACTTTCGCTTTGTTTGGCTGGAGGAGAAATGAAAACCCCACCAGTGCAACGGTGAGCAAGTGGATGCCCAGGGTTAGAGAAGGCTGCCCCAAACCAGAGGCAGTCTGCTGGATGGCACCTGAGCAGAGAGCAGAGCAAGGGCCACACATGCCCCTGGTCCAGTTTAGCCACCACCTGCTTGACAAAGCCCTCATTAAGGACTACTAGTCACAGACTAGCCCTGAGCTAGCTGAGGCTACAAGTCAGTCCCTCAGCTGAAGCAGAGTCCCCCTCTTGACTAGCAATTTTGGGAGCTGTACAGCAAAACTAACCCCCACGAGGCTGTGAACACAGCAAGCGCAATGGGACAAGGAGGAGAAGGTGTAGTGTGTGGAGGGACACTGGCGTTCGTAACTGCCTGCTGAGTTATGGAGAAGGACCTTTTGAAGTGTCCAGAGGTCTTGAGGATGATTACCAGTGGAAATCCAGGTGAGTATCAGTGACACCACTGAGCAGGGGTGCTGAGGTGGAGCTAAGAGCCCAAGGGAGGTAGGGGTATGCCTCCATCCCTGTAGTCACAAAGGACAGACAGGGCCATGTGGCAAAGTGATGATGATAATCGGGTGTCAGGTCAGGAGTCCCCCCCACCTCTTAACCAGCTTCTACCTCTTCTTACTGTGACCAGGTAAAAGCTGCACCCAGTGCAGGAGGCCAACAGCTACCTGGCCTTAAGTCACTGAGGCCACTGAGTACTCCAGAGGGCATGTGTTTACTTTCTTCAATGAGCACCTGGACTATTCAAAAATCACCAGATCCTAAGCACACAGTAAAGCCAGTGTAAGAACTATTTCCGTGCAAAGGAAGAGGCTCTGCCGCCAAACACTGGGTGGGCGGCGTCCTGCGGAGTGGAGTACCTTGATGCACATCCCATGGTCGTTGGGCGCGTTGTACTGCTTCTTCCCAGCAATCACGTAGAAGATGCTGGTCTCCTCCAGATCAGCCAGCAGCTGCAGGTGTCTCGGTTCCTGCAAAACAGCAGCCAGGCAAAGCGTGGGGTCACATTGCGAATAGCCATCATAAAAGCTGCTCATTAATAAGTTCACACTAGCATAAGAGAGGTTTGGGTGCATTTAAAAATTAAGCCCACGTTCACAGCAAGCATACCTAGCATACGGAGGGGGTAAAATGTTTTCAAATGTACCTTTGAAGTCCCCTTGGTGGAGTAATAAAGGCCAGATCTGCGCAGGCACACATACAGCTTCTTCCAAGACTTTTTCCCAACTTCCTTCACCTGCAGGAACCCTTGGATCTCAGGGCAGCTGCTGGTGTTCAGAAAGTTCTACGGAGGGACAAATTTTTAAAATTAGGCAATATGCATATAAAAAAAATGAGAGCAGTTATGTGATGACATATAGCTAATATTTCCTGAATTATTAAAAATACTTAGGGGTGGGTGTTGAGCAAAATTTTCTTCCTTCAAACTCCTTAAAACCCCAGCAAAACGGATATTGCATCGAACACAGTGAGTATTGAAATGGAGAGAAGCAAATGGCTGCCACAGGAGGGTGGGCATGATGCTGTGAGTCTCCTGAGAAGCAGTTGGGGCGCGTCTGCTCTGTATTTCAGACCCCCAGCAGGCTATCTCAGTAGGGACTCAGGTTCTGTATTTCAGACCCCCAGCAGGCCTATCTCAGTAGGGACTCAGGCTCTGTATTTCAGACCCCCAGCAGGCTATCTCAGTAGGGACTCAGGTCTCTCTCCTTACCTGCAGAAACTGAGCATGACTGCCATTGGGCTGCTGGCACCAATTGACCATCTGATCCGGGAAGAAGTTCTGAGACAGAGAGGGAAAGAAGAAACAAGCGCGTTACAGACGGCACAGCCTGTCAGCATTAAACACTCTCCGGGTACGATCGTGGTCATCTGTATTTTAAACAACAGCATTCTCATCTTTCATCAAAACCTGTACCACCCCAGTACCAAAAGAAAACCACAACCACAAAATAAATAACAACAAGGTGACCGCAGTTGGAGACGGTCTCTGTCACCAGTCTCAACGACATCGAGTTATGATGGCGTCGTGTGTGAGGTCTGCTTCATTAAATGGCGACACAGCTTCTTAAGCCCATGTACCCACATGGTCCATAAGTCTCAGCTCGTCATCTGATAATCAGGTTCTATTCAACCCCAGTACAAACGCCAAGATTTCACGAGTCCCAACGTGAACCCCAAAAGGAGACTTACCACTGGGTTCTTAAAGAACTCATACTTGGCATAATTCTTTCTGAACAGAAATTTACTCTCATTTGGCATGGTGCTCTCCACCTGGACCACAATCTCATGGTCCTCCAGGCACCTCTCTGTAGGGAGAAACATCACATGTGAGATGAGGCAGAAACTTCAGCACAATCTTCCAAGGTCAAAACCTGTTTTTTAAGCCCCGAGAATGAAGAGTATGTCAGGAATGACACTAAATTTAAGTCTTGTCTTTAACAAGCTGATGGATATCTAAAAGAGGTCTTAAAATTCAATAAAATGCAAAATTCAAGTGAGTACTGACAAGCACTTGGAGTCAACACTACCAGGGGAGCTGTGGACAAGATACCATAAGCAATGGGATGTACAAAGCATTCACCCTTCACACCTAGCTAGTTAACACTGGCCATGTCATGGAATGTATGCATCAGCTGCATTATGTGTGAAGGCAAAGAAAAGAACATGCTCCACACAGAGTATTCACTGTGCAGGCTGTACAGGTAGGCACATGCGTGTGCGTGCGTACCCCTTATGTAAGGATTTGGAGAGGCTGGCTAGCTCCTTCTCCGAACTTCTCCTTCTTGTGGAGCGCAGAGAACTCGGCCTGCTTCTCGCTGATAGATACAACACGCTCAGAGGAGCTGTGCTTTTCTGCTCTGGAATGGAGGACATAGCTCCTCCCACAGAGCTCCTGAAAAGCCATGATGGAGGTGGTAGTGACAGAGAACTAACCACATCAGACAAAGGAATAAACTGTCTCAGTCGGTCCACCCCAGGCTCAGTGTGGGACCTGATGCCAGCCAGGCATACACAGATTAAGTGGACACAGGGGCGGTATCCTAAATCCCTATCGTGTCTCATGCTGTCAGAGCTGAGTCTCATCTGGGAAGGAAGGGAGATGCTGAGCAAAAGCCACTTTAAGTTAACAGGGTCTCAGAATTGGGAGAAAGAATTTCTGTCCACAGAGGAGAACTGTGACCATGGCCACTTCTCTATGAGAACCACCTCTGTTATCAAGAAGAGCACATTCTGGGCTAACAATCCTTGGCCTTAATTTTGATGCTGTACGAAGGAGACATCTTGGTAGAAACATATTTAAAACCAAAATTTGTCCCCATGGCAAATGCAAAGCTCACAGAACATGAAAAGCCATGCTTGACGCAAACCTAGAATAGATTCCATTTACCTCTATCTGGGAGAATTCTCCCTTTAACACATGAGCGCTTATGTTTACACAAGGGTTATATTTCCTCAAGACATAGGCGAACAACCACATACAACTTAAGCATTGACTAAAACTGTGATGCATGGTTTGAAAAAACAGCCAGGCTTAAGTTCATTCATTTTAAACAGACTTTCTCGTCTAAAAACAGATCAGTGAATTCCATTAGGAGTTTTACTCAGAGAAAATATTCTAAACAAACTTGAAAACAGAACTCAACCACCCCATAATCTGTGGGTGGTTGTTTTACAGAATAAATTACTTTTCCATTTAAAATACAGAGTAGGAAAGGGAGGTAGCTGTCGCCTAAGTAAGGACGCAGTGGCGAGCTCTAAATCAAAAAGTGTTCTGCTTTCCCAAGAGCTCTGAGGAGCACAAAGGACCCTGTGGAGAGCTTCCCAGCTAAGACCAGTGCTACGGTCTATACAGCTCTGGCCCGCAATAGTGGCTGTCTGGGAGGGTTGCACACAGACTGCACGTACACACGGGGGAGGGGGGGACATGGAGCCTGGGGAAGGAGCAGGGGAAACGGGGCCCCATTGTGGTTTCAGGTAACCAGTGACTACCAAGCTGGCCTGTGCAGCTCTAAAGGATCGTGCTTTCCCTCCGCTGCCAGTCTGGTGACCCCAGAGGAGCCTCGCTGTGGCTCTTCATGCAAACCAGCTGTAGCGTCAACTCCCGTTTCCTTCCTCAGTGAGCTGGTGAACGGTGGAGAAACCCTGCTAAACCCTTCCTCGGGCCGCTATGGGATGCCGAGACACGGCTGTGGCCTACAACTTGGTACCTTCAAGTGTCTGTCTGCCTGTGAACTAACTTCCTGCTGTTCGAGGGCTAAAACTGGACCAAGGCCGTGCTTTAGGATGTTCCTAAGCTACTCTGTGTTCATGCGGAAGACGTGGAGACTCCTCAAAGGCCAGTTGTTATTTTTCAACTATTTGAAACTATATTCAGCATCTGTATCAACATCTCACTCTGTGACAGAAGGGCTTGAGCATCGGACCAGTCAAAGAGGAAACGGTACTTCTTTGCTTTTAAAGTACATAGCTACTCAGAGCCTCAGCAGAAACTTGTCCAGCCCAGGTGGCATGGAGATCATCATGCAGGACAGAGCACAGAATAAGGCTCAGTGCAGCCTTTCAGTTGGCTCAACCTCCTGGTAGAAGGTCTCAGGCCTCCAGATTGACTGCTGGGAATCGTGGCACAAGGCAAGGAAGCGTGTCTAAGACACCTTGATGCCAAGCCAGCCAGCCAGCCTGCCAGCTTTCTTTCTATCCGTATATTTTAATGAGGAAAATACACCACTTGGCATTTTCAAATTAACAGTCAGGGAGCTATGGACGGAACACCAGCTCATGGTAGGCTCCTTCTGGGCACGGAGGACTGAAGGAGACTCTGTAGTGTCCACGGCACTATGGCGTCTGACTGGAACACAGAGCTGTAAACAGCCCCCAGAAAGCCACTGCTCTTTCCTGGGGGTGCCTGTCTAACGCACATAAGCCACAGTGCTCACTCCTCAGTCGCTGAACCAGGCAGGATCTGTGGGGCCCTGTCCTCGTATGCCTGCTGCCCTCGCTCCCCAGCCCTGGATGTGAGAGCCCTGGTACCAAGTGACCCTGTGCTGCGACCCCACTTTCAAGTCCTGGGGAGGGAACACCAAAATGCTGTTTTGTAAAGTGTATTTTGCAAAATTTCTTTAAAAAGTCATCTGTTTGCCTGCCATGCCTGCGGGCTGACTATGTTCCGTCGCTGTGTGTGTGTGGAACTTTCCGGATGGAAGGGGAGATTCTGGAGGGTTGCAGCTCACACGCTTGCACAGATGGGGCTCCCCCATTCACCCTATGCTAGCACACTAGCTGGACTTAATCACTGACTGTCCCCACACACCAAGGCTGAAGGATTCCCGGTAGGGAGGCCTTAGAGTAAGTGCTCATCAGGAAGTGTCCAGTAGTTCAGCGGCGAAGACCAGCACAGGAGCACTGTTTGGAAAACCTTCATCTGAGATCACATATGAACTGAAAATATCAGAATGCTCTCCTTATGCCCCCAACTGTAACAGTTTTGCGTTAGTCTGTTTTAGAATCTGCCCCAAAGACTTGCATATACAGTCTCCCCTTTGTGTGTCCTCCTCCCTAATAAGAAGACTCAATATAGAATTGCCTAAGAGAGCTGTTTCCATGGAGACAGCGATACCCAGGAATGTGGGGCAGGGTGGTTCCCCACCAAGCATAGGTGAGGCCCCACTCTTTAGGCCGGGACCCAAAAAACACACCCTAGAGCAACATCCATTACAAAGAGCCTCCCACAAGTCTGTGGTTCACTCATCCACAGCAGGGCAGCTCAATGCTAAGATGTGAACAGGGCTTTCTGAGAGGAACCACACAGCACTACATCTTTTCACCAGTGGGCCCCGACAAGAGACTGCTGTGGAGCTGCGGCAGAAACAGGATTTCCTTTTACAGAGCGACACAGCCGCGTTCCTTCTCTCTTTCCTTCAATTAAATGGTAGGTTTGAATAAAACAAAACACACACGCCCTCGGAGATAAGTGAGAGAACTAGAAGGCAGAAATGGAGCTTGTGCTGGGGTTGCTCACTTAAAGACGGTGAATCTTAAAAACTTTAAGAACTCACACAATCCTCTCTAAAATCTAGCCCAGTTGGAAAACGTGTTTCACTTTTCCTAAAAAGGGAGGAACTGGTGTGGAAAAGACACCTTTAATAAAAGTCTGACAGGCTTCTTTACCTGAGATGAACCAATTGAGGGAAAAAAAAAATAACGAATGCACCCCAGCAAGTTTGGGAGCTAGTTCCAAATATTCTATGGTATAAAATATGCTCTTGTCCCACAAGCAACATGACTGTGTACACACGCAGTGTAGACATCACCTCAGAAAGAAGCCATGCAGGCACTTAATTCCTATGAGAGTCCTTTGGAATGTATCCTGACTCCCTGTCCCTACTGCAAGAGAACTATGGCTCTCTTCTTCCTATGAATAGGCTGAGCTGCTTTGAGATGGGTAGCTGATGGCCCGCTGGGCTCTGGAAGAAGAAGCAAGTCCTAGAGAACCTACCACCTAGGCTGAGCCTTTGGGAAGTTACTGCTTTGAGTACCCAAGGTGAGATTCTGAGAGTATCAGAGGGAGAGGACTGGGAAGGAAGGAGAGCAATGTTTAGGAGAAAGCAAGGGCCAGAGGGAGTGCTGAGCCACCTATTAACTGCCTGCCCGGCTGGCGGGAGATGGTGACACGTTTACATTTGGCTGTGGCATACCCATTTGATCACACACTGAGGTCCCCAGGTGCTGTGCGCAAGCCAGGTGACCAGACCCCTACCTAATCCAAGTTGGGGGTGGTGCTCCACCAGAGTCCAGCTGTTGTCATCCACACAGTGACTTCTGTAAACCAGCAACTGGCACAGGTCCCTGGCAGTCATGTCAGTCAGAATCTCCACCACCCTGCTTGTCCCGTCTTCACTAAAGACTTTGACATCCTGCAACACACAAAGGGACAAGTACAGATGAAACAACTTGGCATTTACAAAAAAAACAGATGAGATAAAACAAGTAAAAACATTAGTGTCTCCACACATAGACAAGTGGTTTCTTGGGCTCCACAGAGGCAGGTCCAGGGCTATGGGACTCCCTTTCCTCTCTTTGGAGGGACCAGGGAGTCTCACAGGCACAGATGGCACACAGGCAAGCCACCAGCCTGGCATAGGGAGTCACAGAACCTACTCAAACACTATATCTGTTCCAGGTTGGACCGTTTACGCTTGTACACGTGCAGCGCATGTCTGGGCTGATCCTCCTCCCCTAAACTGTAGCACCCCCTTTTTCTCCATTCCCAGAGTCCACAGGGCCTGCAGCTCCTGTTCCCTCTATATCCTTCAAGTTCCTGAGGCACAGGAGGAAGTTGAGATAAACATCTAGACCGATGGAAAGGGGTACAGGAGAATACAGTCATGAAGTTGTTTGGCCCTTCTCCTAGAGCTATCCAAATCTACGGAAACCAAATAGTTCCTCGGGAAAAAGCATAGTAGACATTTCAGAGATTAAAAATGCTACCCGCTCCAGTGGATGGGGATGCAGTCTTTGGGGAACAGTGAGATTTAAACAAACAAAAAACAACAGCTACAACGAAAACCCTCAATAACAAAATTCTACCGAGAATCTTACCTCAACAGCATGGGAACAGCAGTTAGAAGGACATGGTGGCATTTTAAATTGTGATTGCCTACTGCCTGGTACTTTCTTCTGGTGCTTCCCTACCTTCCCTGGGAGGCCGGGCTCACTGTCCAGCAAGGGCTGCAGTCCTGGGCAGCTTTGCCCTCATCAAGGCTGCTTTTGTTCGCTGCCTGCCATCTTACTGGTCCCCAAGGTAGGAATGCAACCACTCCAGCAACCCAACTGTGCCCTTCCGAGGACGGATGTAGCCTCCTCAGGGGCTTTTAAGGCTGATGACAATGGTTGACAACATCAACAACACACAACATGATTGGCTGCAAAAATCCCGGGGCAGTGAAACACCAACAGATCACTTAGGCTGGAGCACGTGCGTCCTCTGGGTTTAGACCAACCTCCCGCTAATCCTCGTCTCCAACTGCTGCCGTCAGCCTCAACTGACCGTTAGCTTGTTCTGAAAGACTATCTCCAGTGGCCCAGTTCTCTGCCCTTTCTCTAGTTCATGTGCTTAGAAGGACGACTCTATGGAGGGAGTCAACGCTAGCACTTGGGAGGGTCCTGTGGCCCTGGGGGCAGGAGCTATATCCACATCTTCTTGGAGAGAAGGCTCCCTGAGGCCGGGGAGAGAGAGCTCATATTCCGCTGGCGTTGAACTCCCAGATGGGGGTGGGGATGCTTGGGGGGGGGTATCAGGAAAGCTGGGGGAACCCAAAGGGCCTCTCCACCCCTGCCACTCCCTGACTCAAAAATATCAGGGTTTGCTTTCAAACCCACTTTCACTCTCAAAGAAAAATAGCCCTCCCTCTTCTGGAATTTATGCCTCACTCAGGGAAAGTTTGCCTCTATCAGCAAAGCACATGCCTACACACGGCTCACATGACCGACTCAGTCTAGGAACTAACACTTAATTCAAATCAAGAAAATATGTCTGTGGTCTCTGGGCAAGAACATTCTTTCTAAAACGCTTTAACATAAAAGCAACAGAAATTTGGAAAGTATAAATGCATTTGATATTCTGGTTTGCAGGACGCAGGGCCTCCTGAGTCTGTGAAGCTTTCCACTCCCCAGATCAGTCTCCTAATGCTCTTCCTTTCCTAGGCTTCGAAGCATTTATGTGGTTACGGCAAACACTGTCTCCTCCAGGAAAGTTATGTGGCGGTGAAGTATGTGTTTCATGCCTCCCCAAGTCCACTCGCCACTCTTCCTGCCCAGAACAGCCGTGGCTCCACGTTTCAAAGTCTGCTTTCAGCCCACTGCATTTTTCTTTAAACGCTCTCTTTTTCCCTCAGATGCTCCACAGCCCTCCTGCCCCCCCCGCCCTCCCCCCGATCTATATATAGTCTGGGCAGTACAAGCTAACACGTACTCTGTCACAGGTTTATCTTCACTTCTTTGAGATTCTCACAAAAAAAAAAAAAAAAAAAAAAAGCCAGGTTGGCAGGACAGGGCAGTACGTGATGGCTGAGGCCTCCCCCCTCCCCCTGAACCCCAAAGCCTGTGAGAGAGAACAGACAGAAAAGTACACACCTCCCGTTATAGACTCTAACTGACACACCATTCTTTGGCTATTTCCCCAAACTCCACAGGGCCTGCTGCCCGCAAGCCAAACAACCTCCAAGACAGAACTCTGGAAAAACCATTACACATACCAGCAGTGTTGATCTGGGTAAATGTTGGAAAGTACAGAAGGGACATTTTGTAGCAAATATATAAGGCACAAAGCGAATGCTGTGTGCAGCTCCAACGTCCTTCCACAGAATCTTTCAAAGGAGGGTTCTAGATGGAGCATTTGGTGCCACACTGCCATCCCCCCCCCCCCCCCCAGCAGACCTCTGAGCTGCGCTGGCACTCATTAAGGAATCAAGTAAGGGTTGTATATTTCATAGGTCTGTGCAAGAACCTGGGCCAAGAGCGCCTGGGAGCAGCCGGGGCCTCTGAGGCACACTGAATGCTCTCATTTCTTAACCAGGGTGGACAAAGAAGGTTCTCTCAGGCAGATCAAGGTTCTGGGCCCCCAGCAACTCACATTTCAGCAGGGCAAGAGCCATAACACTGGCAGTTATTTTCCATGGGCTAACTGTCCAGGGCACATAGGAATCTGTGCAATACTGGAAAGGGGTAGGGAAGCAGGAGACCCACGGTTCCATCCTGACACAGTAAGGTTCATTTTCCTCATCTGAACTGTGGGACACTGTTTTGTCAATGAGTGGAATACACAAAGACCGATGCTCCATCGATGCCACTTTGGCACTGGCCTGAAGTTTTGGTATGGCAGTCAGGGCTGGTTCTAAGTGGCAACTCTGGAGTCAGAGGGAGCCACAACTCCCTTCATGATTTACCTAACTTTTCTGAGCCTCAGTTTCTCCATCTGTGAAGTGGGAACCCATGAGTGACACTGGCCTCACAGTGTTAAGATGGCTCTTGGAAAAGCTTACAGCCGTCTTTGTCCACAGACCTGGGATAGGTTGGGGTGGGCTAGCTGAAAGCCTGGAGGCGACTTAGCAGGCAGAAGGGGAGGGTTCTAACGCCTGTGCGCCGCCGGCACTCCCAGTTCTTAGAAAGCAGACCTCAACTGGTTAAGATGCAATGCAGAAAGCATCACCAACCAACCAACCAAACAGTTAATTGCTTTAAAAATAAAACAGTAATATGAAAGAGAACAGGCACAATTACGTCAACATGAAACTCTCTGTCAGGGGGGTGGGGGAGGGAGTGCTTTTTTGCTGGATTGGCCCACTACACACTCTGCTCTAAGGGCCCCGAGGAGGCAATAAAACGTCCCATTGTTCCCAGACTTTCTGTTGTCATTTCCTATACATTCACCATATAGAGGAAGGAACAAAAGCCCCTTTCTTTGCAGAAGGAGAGGGAAGGTGTTTGAGAACAAGAGGGTCTGAGCACATCTGCTCCGTGGCCCCAAGCTACAATCTGGGATGCCTGGCTTTTTGTCCTCATGGTCCCAGGCAGGTGGACAGTATGGGGTCTTTGGGCCTCCCCATGTAGACGGCCTGGTCCCCGGGGCGCGCAGGCTGATGGCCCAGCATCACTAAGGGCTGCTCTTCCCAGACACCTCATAGTAACTGCGACAGTGGTGGGCATCTGAAAGCATCCCTGGGACCCTGAGTTGTCCTCATTCTTCATCTCTGGCTAAACAACTCCTTAAATCAAAGGATCTTGTAGGGTGAAGGCTAGAGTTTTTGCCATTCTAGAGGCCTTCCTTACTTCAGGAGAGGCTGGCTGCAATCAGAGGGCGAGAGTCGGCATGCTCGGGATACTGAGGGAATCCTACACTGAGTGTCTCAGCAGGGATTGTTTTATCCTCTGAAGCAGGTATCAAATCAGCCTCATCAGAATGATGTCTGGAGGCAGTAGGGATTTCCCAGTGACAAGAACAGTCAGTCCTGGGGCAAGGGTTTGAACCCAGGGCTCTCTGACCTAACTGGTCTTTTTTTCCTCCACCAACCAGCTGCCCCTCAGCACCTTGTATCTAGCCTTCCTGCCACAGAGGAATATTTTTGAGTTGAGATGTCCTTAACACCCACAAATAGAAGAATGGAGAGGTGCCTGATGCCTAGGAGTTTGGGTGAATAAGATGGGCTAAATTAATTTTTGTAAAAAAGAATGAAATTTCCCCGAGTCTTCCTGAGGTTTGTCCTGAGTTATGGCACTGCTTTGTCTCTGAGGATCGACACTGAAGCACAGGACTCAACTCCGTGAGCGTGGCTTTCCAGCCACAGGAACATACAACCCTGTTCTCAACCGCTACCTTCTACCTACTCTGAAAAAAAAAACTCTATGCAATTCATACAACCTCATCAACTTCACATTTCAGTAGATTTATAAATACTTTGAGTCCTCGAAAACTCCCTACAAATAAGACAGTTCTATTACTAAAAATAGTTCTCAAAACTTGAACGGGGCTTTTGGAGTCACGGCTAAGACTTCTCTACAGTGAAAGGGTCTCACCAGCCAAGACTGCCCCAAACCAGTTCTATTTCAAAAAGAAAGACTCATCTGATGAGTGGATTTTGTTCTACTTATCTGTGTATGAATGCTCAGCTCATCTGAGATGCATCAAGTCTGCTATTTTGACAAAACTGATTTTTATAAATTGGCACCCCATTATATCAAATAAAATTTGAAAGCTTCTCAAGAAAAATCTGTTAGTGAATCAAAGAGGAGTTACAAAAACAAAGCCTCCTTACTCTCAGTGGGGATTTGTTCAAGGGCCCCAGAGCTGCCTGGAACAAAGGACAGTACTATAAGCTACAAGTGTGTTTCTATACTTGTGTACTTAGGATGAAGTTTA